AAAAAAAAAAGAAAAAAGAAAAAAAAGAAACTTAAGAAAATGGCAGACACTAAAAATGGATACCAGTTAATGGCTTCCCACATTAATGTTTAATAGAAGCACCGGCAGGACATACTTCCTGAGATGCTAATTAAATAGAGGAACAGATTACTCTTATAGAAAAGTTCAAGAGTTACAAAAGATAGCTTTTACTCCAGACAACTCATTTGATACTTTGGTAAAAACTGTTTAAGTGTCCTATAATTGGAACTGGGAGAAAACCAGGGAGAGAAAGCAAAGAGATAAAAATGGCTGCCTTTGTTGCTGCCTCAAAACAGACCCTAAGCCTGATGCTCTTGGCTCCAAGAAGAGTTCAATGCAGAAGCCAGGCCAGCACATGAGGGACTGCCTTAAGAGGCCCACGAGCCCTGCCCTGATGCCAAGACAGCCACTGGAAGTGAGACTGCACTCTGAGGCGGAGGCCCCAGAGCTCAGACTCAGCTTCCCAGGTGGTCCAGTGTTATATCCTGACCAAAGCGTCGCCATCTTGTTCTGTATGTGCCATTCTACATGCTGTAACTTTCCACTGTGCCCATTCTCTACTTGAGAACCTGCAGTTGGGCCTTTCTCACGCTGCCCTTTTGTGCACACCTGAATCTAGTTCCAGCCCAATGCCCTGATCTCGCCCTCGTTCCCAGCCACAAATTGTACCCATCACTGCACTTGTTATTGTTCATTAGAAACAGGTAATTTTTCAACTGTAGCCCCTAGATGAACCCTTGACGTCAACTTTTGTGGTTTATTGGCTTAAATACCCACTCCCCTCATCCTCCCGGCGCGCACCTCAGCATCTTGGGTGTCTGCCACTGGGCACCAGCTAAAATAAAGCGCTTCTTTAACTTTTGGACTTGCCTCGTTATTATCTGATTTTTGAGTTACGACATTTGGGGCTCGTCCGGGATCCCTAAAGGCCTCATTTTCCTTCTCGGGAGCAGTGAGTACCAAAATTTTATCCAAATTATTATTGCCAGCATTGGTTTTGACGTTGGGGGCACCAGTCCCCGCATCCCTGGAGTGGGATGCCCTCCGGGTATTTGTTGTTCTTACAGATTTGGGACTGAAGTTAGGGATTTGGGACTGAAGTTAAAGAGTTTGGACTTAGGTCATTTGTTGAAGTATTCGTAACTTCTTTTGTTTCTTTAACTAAGGTCGTTTGTTGAAGTTTTCATGACTTCTTTTGTTTCTCTAGCTTAGGTCATTTGTCAAAGTTTTCATGACTTTTTGGTTCTCTTTGAGTGTGGTTAATTGGATGATTTCAATTCGGTTTATAGGTTGAACTTGTGCCTGCTCATCTCACCGATTTTTGTCTCTACTTCTTCATTTCTAGTTTCACTTTGTTTGCCCTTTTTCTGGTTCCCGCGCTCTTGTTTGATATTGGCCTCCTCCCCTTCGGTATGGGCCAATCTTCTTCTTCTACCTTCATGCCCCTGTCCCTAGTCCTTGATCATTTTTCCCTTTTCAAGGAACAAGCCAAAGGATATGGAGATCCAGTCTACCCTGGAAAATTAAAAACTCTCTGTGAGCTCGAATGGCCTACTCTGTCTAATGGTTCCTGGCCCCCAGAAGGGCTCCTTTAATCTTTCTCTTGCTCAGTCCCTCCGGCAGGTAATTTTTGGTCCACCAAGTCACCCAGATCAATACACTTATATACAGGTCTGGATCGATATCATCTTTGACCCCCCCACCATGGGTTAAAAAATACCACAGAGGACCTTCCTTTTTGGCCCCCGTGAAGGCCCAACCACAGAAGAGATCCTCTCCAGTCCTTAGTGCCCCCACTGAAGAGGATCTCCTTCCTCCTCGCTATTTATCTCCTCCTCCACGAGCTCCTTCACCTCGCCCTTCCTCCCCTCCCCGGACACCTCCCCCACCCAGCCCACCTTGTACCCAACAGAGGGGCCACCAAGCCCCTCTTCCGGATTCCTCTTCAGATGCTCAGCCTCCAGCACCTCTCTTACCCTTACGAGAGGCCACTGGGGGCGCAGGATTGGGGCCAGTGATGATGTATGTCCCCTTTACAACCACTGATCTCTATAATTGGAAACACCAAAACCCTCCTTACTCTAAGGACCCTCAAGGCCTAACCAGCCTAATGGAGGGCATATTCAATGGCCACAATCCCACCTGGGATGACTGCCAACAGTTGTTACAGACTCTTTTCACCTCTGAAGAACCGTACACCATCGTCCTCAGCACCCCGACTGCAATCAAAGTAAACGGGAAAAACTGCTTGGATACATCATAGCCATTTCAAGAGTGTGACCACCACCTCCCCTGGAGGCGAAGACTCAGATAAGTGGACTGTTGTTAAAAACTCATCCAATCCTTTAAAGGTTAAGCTCCAAAAATGTTCCTAATACTGTTTATGGTTTTGTCCTCACCCCTTACTGGACTGAGTAAAACATTCCATCAGGCCCTCCGGGGTGAATATAGACTAACTGATTATGATACAGGTGAAGTCTTAGTGACTAACTCCACAGGTGAATACTTAATCTTGGATTTGTGTCATCTCCTTCTGGGGGCAACCTATTATCTAAACACAGCCGTTCCATCTGGATCTCATGGATATAGTAATCTCTGAACCGACTCAATTCATTGGTACTGCAAAGATGCCTGGTCCCAACAGCAGCTCCAGGATATACAATGGTACATTTGCCCCCAATGGCAGAAACCTTTTGCCCAAGGACCAACAGGCTATTGGGTTTGGGACAGGCTGGAATACCTACAATTGTGGCCAAAAAAGAGAGAGTCAACATTTTTGCTACCAATGGGGTTGCGAGTCTATATCCCCTTGGGGAGGACAAAAGGACGACTATATCATGGTTACACAGGGAACTCCCCCTAGGACCTGCCCCATAGGAAAATGGGGATGCAACCCTATAATAATCCAATTTGAATCCCGAGCTGATTGCCCCGGATGCTTTTATCGGGGAAAACATTATGGTATCTGGCTATATGTATCAGGAAATGACCCAGGTAGATCCTTTACCATTCAATATGTCCCCACCAGTCTGATCCGCTGACACATAATCACCCAGTGGGTCCTAATCCTTTGATTCCAGCTCCTAAGCTTCAGACTGTGCCCCCAGAAAAACCTGTCACTTCACCTAAGACACCTGTTTCTCCTACTCCTTTCTCTCCTTCGTCTCGAAGACCTCCTGAACCTCAAGATCCCCGTGATCCTCTCCTCCCTCTAGAGATCACCTATGCCTTTCTCAACCTAAGTAATCCCAATCTCACAACTGAGTGCTGGCTCTGTCTTTCCCCCAGACCCCTTTACATACTGGCACTCCAATAATCTGTCTCAGTTTGTACATACTACAAAGCTTCACCACGCTGCTCACATCACCAGTCCCCCCCTCTAACCCTGGACAGTGTTCTCCCCGTCTCAGGGACATGTTTTATATCACAGGGCTATGCCTTGTCTGATGATTACTATTCTCTTTGTGCCAGCCTCACCTCACTTTTCTTATTTATAACCAGTCCTATACAGCTAATCAGCTACTCGAGGCCCCGAATGGAACTTGGTTTGCCTGTTTGCATGGAGGAATAACTCCCTGCCTACAACATAGACCCTTCACTCAGATCCCGGAGTTATGTGTCCTGGTCCACATCCTACCCCAAGCTTACTGGTACTCCTTAGAAGAGGGGCTCAGATATCTAGAAACAGGGGGTCGATTCTCTAGGGTAAACCCCGTGCTGGTGCTGATGTTACTTGGGATCGGACTTGCTGGATCAATGGGGCTGGGTATTTCAGGATTAGTGGTCAGAGATCAAAACTTTAGATGGCTTAGTGAACAAGTTGATAAAGATTTATCCAGCTTGCAGGACTCTATAACTAAATTAGAAGAATCTCTCGACTCACTGGCAGAAATGGTGTTACAAAATCGTAGAGAGCTAGATCTGCTACTTCTAAAGGAAGGAGGACTGTGCTTGGCCTTGGGAGAAAAATGTTGTTTATATACAAATCATTCCGGGATTATAAGACAAAATATGGCAGAAATAAAACAGAGACTGATTGACAGGGAGAAGTGGAGACAGTCACAGCAAAATTGGTTTCAAAAATGGTTTAACTTTTCTCCTTGGGTGA